CACAAGACCAGGGACATTTCAGTTGTGGGTGGCACCGGCGACTTCTTCATGGCCAGAGGAATCGCCACTATAATGACTGATGCTTTCGAAGGAGAAGTCTACTTCAGGCTCCGCGTCGATATCAAGCTCTATGAGTGTTGGTAACATACACCTACTGAACAAAAAAAAGAAAAAAGTAATGAATAAAATTGAAGTCTAGATTTGTTTTTCATGGATTTTATGCGATCCATATGTATCAAATAAAAGTTGATATTGTTATGTTGTAATAGCTGCTTGATGGGACTAGATTTGTTTTTCTCTACCTCTGTAAAGAATTAAGCACTTCTGGTCTTCTATGGCAGTGAACGTTTCAGTTGGTAAGAGATAGGAAATCTTAAACAAGAAGCAACTTTCCTTCACTCAAGAGTCACTTGGTTTCTTTTAAATTTCTTCACACAACGATTTCCTCCCTTCTTTTTTGTTCTTCCCCTTTATAATCATCTTTCTTCCCCAAACTCTGACCCACTTGTTTTCTTGCCATGACCTCATGTTCAACCTTAATTTGGCCTGTTACTCAGGCAAAACTTTTCTTCTTCAAACATTGTTAACATTATGCCCAGTGACCAGTTGCTCGAGTAAACATCTCCTGGGGATGGAGTAGTAATGCAAAAAGGATTCAATCCAAGAAATTCAAATTTCATGAACAATAATTTTCGGTACAAAGTCTTTCTTAGAGAATGTGAATGACGACTTTTAACTTCAATTTCTACCTACAAAGTCACATAACAACTTCAAAAGTCTTAACACAATCATATAATAGTTCATTGTTTTTAATGGATTATCCTTTCTACCAAAAAAAAAACTCACATAATAATTATTTGTCATTTGCCAAAACAGGGGAAAATCGGATTCAAATAATCAAACCATTTAACTCATATTGTTGAAATCTAGTTAGTATTCAAAATGGAATGAAGAATCGGATTCAAATAATTATTCATTATTTACTTTGAACAGTTGTATAGCAGAAAACCAGTAGATTAGGGTGTAGGGAGAGAAGAAAGGATGAGGAATTGAGGAAGAGTGAAAATAGGGAGGAAAGAAAAAAAAATGTACAATTTTTTGATTAACGAATTATGGGCTATATAAATTAAAAAGTATTACACACATGGGAAGACCACTACCCATGACAAATAATTGTAGGTCTAAAGAAGATCCAAATGACAAGACAAAATACCAAATGGATTCTTTTCTTTTTAAACTAATATTATATTGAAAATAAAATATTCATTATTTTACTATCTTTATCAAAATAATTAAAAATAAAAAAATTTAAATGAATCTCAACTCCAGGTTTTACTTTTTTATTGTTTTATATTTTAATTATTTTGATAAGATAATAAAATAATGAATAATTAAACCTTTAAATGAAAAACACATTAATTGGGTCATATATCACAGAGCTATTATGTGCTCACTCATTTTCCTTACCTATCTTGCCTACTACATACGAACCTTCCTGTGGGTGGTGGGCGCTCTCTCTCTCTCTCTCAAGAGCTAAGAATTCGTGGCGGACTGAGATTGTGCCCAACTGCAGCGGCCCATCACGGGGGTGGTCCGAACCCTAGCTCTGCCTGCATTCTATTCTTACAATACCACACGCTAACAACTCTAAAGAGACCTTCAATATCACCCCGTCCACAACCTTCTGGCCGACCACCCCTCTCTCTACTACCCTGAAATCCGAGTTGTTGCTGCCACTCTCAAAATCGTTGGCGAGATCCGCAAGCCCCAATTCCGTCCAATGGCATGAGAGGAGGGATGCCGCAACCGGAGAAAACACCTTGTGCTACATCATGCCAATGCCGAGATGCGCCTTCAAAAAACCAAGGCCAAATGTAATGATGAAGATGAAGAAACAAAACATCTATGACTTTTACCCTCACCCACCATGAAATGAACAGACAAAAAACGAACCCCACTACTCCACTATGATTATCACATACTTACGCATCACAACAAAATCGCAATTCGCAAATAAACTACCCATAAGGTCAGAACAACATATCATCCCACCCGAATAACGAAATCCAAACCACACAAACCAAGGCAGTCCGTATTTACTCAAAATGTGGAATTCTCAACGAGAAGCAGGTTTCAGAAGCTCTGCCCCAAGATATGCAAGTACCGCCTTCCAGAAGCTCTACCCCATTATCTGCAAATGCCTTTAACAATAAGACGGTATCTCTAAATGGGAACAGTTTTGGCAGAAAAAAATCTATAAGCGTTTATTATTGAAGTACTTAAAAAAAGCTAGAAATTTAAGCTTAAAAAATAAGTATTTATTACAATTTTATTTTCCAAATACTAATAAGTGCTTAATGGTGTGATTCTAATTTAAATAAATACTTATTTTTAAGCACTCCAAAACATAGGCTAAATACTAAAACTGACATTTTGTTATTTATGAGAGATTTTTATCCTCACTTACATATTGGTAACACACCAATTTGTAAAAATATTGGTTCTTATATGATTAAAATAATGGGAGAATGACTGATAACTTCAACGTCAAAATTTGTAGGTTCAAAGTACATTTGAGATAGATGTCAACTCGGAATTGATTCCAATTTACCGCAGGTATGAGTAAATAAAGTGTGATTTTTGTAGCTTCTCAATATTTATAACTTTGCAATAGAAATCAGAAATCTACATTAAGCCCGTGTGTACCTTTCCGTAAAATAATTGGTGTAACTCATGTGAGATATATAAATAATTGGTGTGACTCGTGTGAGATATATGTACATAGATTCTTCTTCTCGGGTAATAGCAATAAAAATAACTTTTAATGATGGCATAAAAGATGCATATGATTTTTTATTTATTTTTCTTTTTTTGTATCATCTGCCAACAACATACATGGCAGATTGGTAAGGTATAGTGACAACAACTACTATTGGCAAAGATTTTTTTTTCTGGTAATAAAGAGCTTCGTAAAAGAAAAAAAAAATCATTAATCGCAATTAAGGGGAGTACAAATCCTCAAATCAAATAAAAGAAAATGGACTGAACCAAGAGGAAAAATGATTCGTCATCAGTTGTGCTGTGTTAGGGGAGAGAGTTGTGGACGGGCAAGATGATGAGCCACCCTATTATTCTTCCAAAGCTACCAATGTTGGAAAATGGGATCATTGTAACTTTGGAGGAGAAATTCGGAGGTGCATCTGAAGACATTGTCTTTATAACGTTATTTGCCCCCACTCAGTTTCTGATATAACTGAATTTAAGTAAAGGAGAAGAGGGTCAAAGAGAGGGAGAAAGAAAGAATTCTACGGTAGAAAAGGCTGATGATCTTTATTCACTCCTTCAAGCTATATTTATAGCCTTACTGTGTAACAACAATGCTACAAACTAGGAAATAAAATAGGAACTACTCACCCCTGGGGCTTATCTACTAAAACAAACTAAGCTTATCTACTACTGGCTAAAAAATATTCAAAGATACTAATAGACTAAAGAAACAAACTTGACCAAGTCTCATGCTGCCACTGCCACATAATTTGTGCATATATCAGTTTCATTGAGTTTGTTGTTGGGTTACAGGCAAATCCGTTCTCAGGATACAACAGAGCCTTGGGCGAGAATCTGCAACCAACAAAGCTGAAGAATCTCCGAAGAAACCTTCTGTGAGATTATAGCAGAATGGACTGAATTGAGAGAAAGATAGAGTGAATTTCGAAATTATGTGTTATTGGAGTCTGATTCATGCTCCTTAAATAGTTTATGAAGAGGTATGAAGAAAAAGTAAGTGTTGGTTTAGAGAAGACACATTGAACAGTCACAAATTCAAACATTGTGACTGTTAAAAAGTAGTTAACAGTTAATGACTGTTAACTTTGAATTGTGCCTCTTGATCACACTCGATCGAATCATGACCGTTGATCTCATCAACGGTGATCAATGGTCAGCATCACACCAAAACCAAAGCCGCCCTTCGCGAGCCACGCGGGTGCGTGCGAGCAAAGTGCGCCTCTAAAGTGCCTCATTGCACGGCACACGCGTGCGCGCGCGTTGCGCGGTATCAAATCCCCATACTCTCCTCTACTATCTCTAAGGAGTGTAAATCAGCTCCTATTAAAATACTGAAAACAAACCTTATAATTTTCCAATGTGGGATAAGTTCAAAACTGGGTTTAGTAAGAGAAAAGCTAATTTTTCAATCAAGCATGCAGATGTAATTTCTCATGTAATTGACCAATCAAACCCATTGGATTTAATCTCTTATGAGATTAAAATCCAACAACCAATATCTGATCAACCATGTACTTTTTAAAGGGTTAAGCTCTGACTTGTAATTTTCATTTACTGCTCTAACCGCTTCTAATATAAAGAGTCAGATTCTATAAAAACTTTATCTAATCTCTCCTTCAGGATTTCCATGCATAGAACCTAATCTAATTGCTCTTCCTTCACCATCAAGAACTGACTGACAGCGTGTATCTCATTCCATAAACAAACACCTTTCCTCACCACTAAGGATGGAGCTTGATCCTGGCCTTTGTAAAATAACTCGTTCCTTGCCTTCCAAAGCTGCCAACAAAGGTGCCCATCTATCTGCATTTCCATCCAGATATTAGTCATCTTGGAACCAAGATATTATCCAGTCTCCCACTATTCTTGAGTCCAACTTTCCAGAGATATAAAAGCTAGAAGTGAGCAAAACCAGACTACTTTTGTAAATGGACACAGAATAAGTAAGTGTCGAAGGTCTTCTTCCTATCCACATCTTGGGCAAGAGGCCTTAACCTTTACTTGTCGATTTTTCATCCTTTGAGAAATCGAATTAAACTGTGTATACTCCATCCTTTGAGAAAGCCCATATCAGTTTATCTCCGTCTTCTTCCATACTCAGAGGTATGGCCATAATTCCTTCAACCTCTGATGGAGAGAACAGTCTAATTAATAATGCTTTCATTCCATCGGTGGGGGTTACATAGAATCAGATCTTCGACCTTAGTGACTTCATTTGCGATGGCCTGGTGGAGTGGATGTGGATCCTATAATCTGGCGAGGAAGGCATGCAATCAAGGGTCTTCCCAAATGAGGACTTCTAGTCTTGAGCCAATTCTCCAAACTAGTCCTTTCTTTAGGAGTTTCATACCATAAATAATGCTAGCTATTCATACAATATTAGTCACGCATCGCTTCCACGCTGATTAGATGAGTCATCTACATGGAGGATCTAGGGCTCCTCATCCCAAGTCGGGCCTTCTCTGACCGAGACTGGTGCTGCACTAGTTGACACCTTCGACGTGCTAACTTGCTTGATTACTTCAGGAGCTGGCGTGTCGAATGAACATTCTGCCATGAAATCCACCAAGACTTGTGCTTTGATTGTTGTATGTGGCTCGAACCGGATGTCGTACT